GGTTTAACCTCGTTTGCTTCACCTTACTTCGTTTTCCTTCTCTGTGAAACGGGGTTCCTGCCTTGTCTGCCTTCCTGGGGAGTGCTGTGGACAGAGAAGCCCCATACGGGTATGAGGGGAGGGGATACCGGGTTTGAGAGAGCTGCTCTGGGGGCCTCCATGGCAGCTCCACGCCCTCTGCTTGAAGCCCAGAGAGGTGGGTGACGTGGCCATCTGCCCTCCCCAGCCCGGGAGAGATGAGCTGCATAAAAGAAGCGGTATCTGGGAGTATAATAGCTATTTGAGTTGGCTCTTGGGAATTTTTCTTTAGAGCCAGCTTACTCTGTGGCCTGCCTTGTCTCTCCCTCCAGGAGAAAAGGACATCTCTGTAGGTAGGGCTTCTGTTTCCCTCACAGGTGGAGAACCCATGCTCAGCGAGGGTGAGGAGCTCACTTTCTCCGCCCTCCATCCCATCCCCAGGGCCCTCAGGGATGGGGCTGGAGCAGCTGCCCGGTCTAACTTGGGCTTCTAGGCTGTCAACCCCTGGGTTGGTTCATTCATGGAATAAACCTGGAGCCCTCCGCTGTCAAAGGCCCTCCATTGGGCTCTGGGCACACAGAGGAGATAGGTCCCGGCCCGGCACTCAGGCGACGCTGGCAGAGGAGGACGACCACATCAGCAGACGCTGGCTGCAGTGGACAGGTGCTGAGAGGGCGTTCAGAGCGCCGTGTGCCGAGGGAGGCCGGGGAGGGGTGCCAAGGGAGCCGATTGCACTTGGGACTTTGGGTAGATGCTGAGGCTCCCTGCCAGCCCCACCCAGGACTCGGTGTGCAGGTGGCAGTGGTGGCATCTCATTGCAGCATTGGCATCCAGCGAGCTTCCGCTGGACTCCTCCCAGCCACAGCTGGGGCAGAGGAGGTGCTGATAGATGAGTGGTGAGGACTGGCCGGGGCCTCGGGGTGCCCAGGGGAAGCCCCACTTCCTATCTGCTAGGCAACTGAACCAAGACTGTTTCAAAGTGGCAGGCCTCCAGGTGGTATCCTCAGGAGGGTGGACACCAGCGTCCAAGCGGTGAAGAGATTGCAGGGTTCACCCTCCCTACCCCCCTGTCAGAGATGGGGAACTGAAGCCCAGAGAAGTGAGGGACTTGGCCATCATTAACGCATTGTTGACAGAGCTGGGACTGAAACCCAAGGCCACTGCCACTTAACCTGCAGCACAAGATGCCGACTCCTGGCTGCCCTCTGAAGGAAAACAAGTCATGCATTTCTCCTGTCCCCCCCACCCCATCCCCCAGTCTCCCCCCCCACTCCCCCCCCCCCAGTTGTGGGGAGATGAGAGAAGGAACTTGAGGCACCTGTAGCATAGAGACAGGACGCAGTCCTGGAAGTTGGGGCTGAATCGTATTCAACTCTGCCCACCCTCGGGTTTAATGGCCTTGGCCCTGTCACCTCCCTCAGCCATTTTATCACCATCAAAACGGGAATGATGATGCCAAGCTCCCGGCTTGGTGAGGAGTTGGGGTGCTTTGGAAGTAAGTGCTTTGGAGGCCCCAAAGCTTTGTGGGCCACGTGGGCAGCACACCTATCACCCGGCATGACAGGGAGGGACCTGAGAGCCCGAGGAGCAGCCAGAGCAGAGCCCTGCTTTCCTTCTTGCTCAGCAGACCTTTCTTAGTGTCCCTCTGACCATGCCCCGGGATCCCAGATGCGGGTCAGACCCAGGCCTGGCCCCTGTGCAGCTCCCAGTGTGATGGGAGGATGGGTTTGTCATCAGTAGTTAGTACGAGGTGAGGGGCGGTGGAGCCTAGAGGGAGGATTCTGTTTCTCTGTCTTATTTCTCCATTTATCTTCAGACAGATTCTCTCCAGGGGGGCTGGACAGGGAGCGGGAAGGGAAGGGGGCGCGGGGAAGAGGGGCGAAGGCAGAGGGTGGACATGGGTGTAAAACAGCCTGATAGTTCCAAGCTTGCATGGGCCTTAGAGTTTATCATCCTAGTGAAGGAAAGATGGCCTCTCTCCAAAGGCTCACCTTATCTGGGTTTTGAAAGAAGAGCTGACTTGTCTCATTGTCGGGGTCATCAGGTGGGCAAGGCAAGGAGGGACTTTCTAGATGGAGAAGCAGTGACTCGATATTTCTTAGTCTCACAGGGGGCTTCCACTGGGGCTCGGGCTCAGTATCACGGACAGGCCTCAGAGCACACGGGGCTGGTCTCCTTGGTCAGCCAGGTCTGACTCTTGCGGACAGGAGGCAGCCGAACAGGCCCAGGCCTGAGGAACGAACGCAGTGGTAGCTTCCTCCTGGATTCCCGCAGGGACACCTGCCATTCCTCAGTGGACTTCCGTCTCCCACTTCATTGCGGAGCTGGCTGTTGGCCATAGATGGAACGAGGCTGAGTGAGGACAGACTGGATGGTGTGGGGAAAGCCTGGCTCTGACCAACTTGCTGTGGGCCCCGGGGGATTCTCTTAAGCCCTCTTCTTCCTGTCCAAGTCAGGATTGGACAAGACGGTCCGTAGTTCCTGCACGCTGCCCTCATCTCATTGTCAGAGACCTCTGATAGGCTGAGCAGACCCAGGTCTTTCCAGTTGTTTCCCTGGGGGGTATGTCATCAATGGGTGGCCCTGACCCAAAGGCAGGGGCTTGACCCCAGCCCTTTCCTTAAGCTCTGTTCAAGCTGTTGGCCTTGGGGTCCTGTTTGCAGTAGGAAGTGGCCAAATAAGACAATGACTTATGTCCTTCCCTCTGGTGCCTTTTTCCCCCTCTATCCCCCCCCACCCCCCCCCGCCAGCATAGGTGGAGGCCCCCAGCTCCTCCCTCTGCCCTGACCCACACCCCACCCAGACCTGCCCTACCTGAGACTTTGGACTGAGGATCTTGCTAAAAGACACATTTTGACTCAGCAGATCCAGGCTGGGGGCCCCGGGTCCTGTGTTTTTAAACAGCTCTCAGACCTCACTTTGAGTAGGAAGGTGCTCGAGTTCATTCTGTCTTCTCTCCATCCGGGCACCCAGCCTGCCCCAGGCCCAGGGCTGGGACGTTTCCTAGCCCTTAGCCTACTCCTAGCTGCCAGGGCCCCTGCCTCACTTCCTCTGGCCCAGTTCAGGAGGCAGAGCCAGCTGCTAGGGGGTGAGTTGGAAGGCCAGTCCTTGGACCAAGGGTCCAGGCCTATGCTGGGGCCTCACTTCCCTCCCCTGTGTCCCTCCCCAGGTCCTGAGTACAGCCAACCTTTGTGCCTACTGTGTCCCATGGGCACTCAGCACCTGCTATGGGCGAAAGGAATCCTGGATTCCCACCCTGGCTCTGCTGCCTGGATTCCAACCCAGTGCAAGTCAGCGCTCCTCTCCTCAGTCTCCCTGGTGGTCCAATTGGGCTCTTCTAGAAACTTTGAGGGCCCTCAGTCTCCAGGATGGGCTCAGGAAAGTATAAGGTGGAGAAGACCTGTGGTGGGAGGATTTTTATCCAGAGAGGGTGAAGGAGCAGTAATGTGCCAAACCTCTGGAATGCCTCTGTGGCCCAGGCTCTTTAGTTGCTTTAGTGATTTTCCATACTGCCACCTCTACCACGCGTATGCCTTCGGAGTACTAAATGCTACTGAGCACTCAGCATGTATCCTATCCTCTCAGGGAGCCCTCATGGTCTTGCCTGGGGTCACAGTAGTGAGTAGAACCATCATCTGAACTGGCATCTGAGTCCTACTGGACCAAGCCCTCTCTCTCTCACCCACCAGAGCAGGCAAAGAGGACAGGACTGGTGTGTCTGCCTTGAGTTACCTGTGTTCCTCCTAAAAGTCAAAGCAATTGCTGATTTTCAGCTAGTGAGCATTAAGTTCCTTTCTAAACTCTGCTGTGACCTGGCTGCTCTACAGATTTTGAGGAAGTGCAAAGGCCTGAGTTAAGTCCCTAGACCCCTCTCCCTCCCACTCCCAGCAGTGGGCCAGTGTGAAAGGACAAGGTGGTGATGTAGTGCCTGGAGCCTGGCCGAGTGGGTGGTGTGAAGGAATGTTTGATGACTACCCAGTAGGCACTCAGTGAAGATGCAGTGAGCGAGGGGCATGCAGTTGGGGTTCAGCAGACGTGGGGTTTGAACTGTTCCACTCCTTTGGTTCAGCTGCTGGAAGGAATGGGGGATGGGTTAGGGGTCCTCGCCCATGCCCTCCCCCAATGCTGCCTCTCTTGCAGTCACCAGACTTTCTGGCCTCATTGTTCCTCAATCACTGAAGTCCAGTGTATCACCCTGGGGGGCACAGCCACAGAGCCAATTAAGTGAGCATACCTTGCCCTAACTTCCAGGCTTGGCACATGCTTGACAGTGAACATAATTGCAGCCCTCAGGGTCCCAGGCTGCCTGAGCTCATTGGCCAGCAGGTCCTTTGCAGAAGCAAAGGGTCTGGCCTGATTCCTCTCTGGGCCCCAAGCTTTGAGCACTGAGAGGAAGCTGTAAGTGTAAATCCCTCTGGTGGTGCTATTGGTGGTGGGCTTGGTGGTTTTGGGGGTGTGGGCAAGAGGCCTCAGATCCTTGGAAAGGGATCAGTCCTGGGGATGAGGGCATGGGGTAGGGATTCAGAGTGCTCAAAGTACAGTTGAAGAAAAAACATTGCACATTGGATGTTGGACCTCTGCCCTTGGCCTCCCAGACACAGATAGCAAAGGTTAAATATTTGTACTAGATCCAGATAAAGGATACGGACAGGGGTTTGATTGGGGTGGAGGGAAGAGAACTGGCAATCATGGAGAGCTTCCCCCAGCCTCTTTGGCTTCCTTGTTTGGTCTCCAAAACCCTATATGGGAACACCATTCCCACTGGGTTGGTATAAACACCTGGGGTCCAGGGAGGCATGCAAACAGCCCAGAATTGGTAGCTACTGGGTGGCAGGGCTAGAATGTCAACTCGTGTGTGTGTGATTTTGTGGCCTGTGCTCCTCTCCCATCTGGCCAGGTGCCTGCTGGGGGGTTGGTGCTGGGGACTCTGAGGCTGGAGAGAAGGGGGGCAGCAGGCTCACGTCTCCCCCCTTCTGTTGCAGGCACCGGCTCCAGCATCCTCTCTGCCCTCCAGGATCTCTTCTCTGTTAGCTGGCTCAATAGGTCCAAAGTGGAAAAGCAGCTGCAGGTCATCTCGGTGCTACAATGGGTCCTGTCCTTCCTCGTGCTGGGTAAGTTTGGGCTCCGAGGGGGAGGGCAGGCAGGGGCCCCCTCCCCAACATAGGTTAGAGCAGGAGCTCAGCTCTGCAGGGGTCCGGAAAGAGCACCCTCCTACTTACACCTTTTGCATCCCAGATTCCGTGCTCTATCCTAGGCCCGAGGGAGGGCCCAGGGAGATTCAGTGGGAGGAGGTGGCATGGCTCCCATGTTGCAGATGGGAAATCCAGGTCTCAGAGAAGGTAAGTAACCTGTCCAAAGTCACACGGATTTGAATTCACATCGGTAGGACCCCAACGCCTATGTTTTCCCCATGGGCCACCTGCCTCCTGCAGACATTTTCTGGAAGACTTTACCACAAACCAGCCCTATGCCCTTACGCAGGTTCTGAGCTGTCTGAAAGTTGGTTTCCTCCTTTTGAATGTGAGGAAAATGCAGGCCAATTCGCATGGCTTTTGTGGAGACTCAAGTTAAGGAGTGAGAGCAGCCAGTACAGGGCCTGGTCCCAGGGGGCCCTTACTCACCCCCGGCTGAACACAGTCCCTGGTTGCTTCCTGTAGCCCATGCAATGCCCCCTCCTCTTTCTCAACACCTCCCACGTCAGTGCTTTGGGTGCTGCTTCTGCAAGTTCTGGTTGATGCCCTCTCTCCCTGGTTGGCATCCAGACCGGGGGCAGGGCATCACTGATTGTGTGGTAGGAGGGGAGGCCCCATGCCTGGGGTAGGCCCCGCCCTCCCAGCAGCCTCTTCTCTTCCCCAGGCCCCCGTGTCACCCGCATAATAAGTGGCTTTCCCAGCTCACAGGCAGACAAACCTGCTGCAGAGCAGCATGGAGTACATTCCAGCACCCGTGGGCGAGTCCCTGTGGGTGGCCACTCTTCAGGACTGTCCGTCTAATGGGAGTGCTGAGCATCTGTCCTGCCAGGGGCACAGGGGCCTCGGAGGCCGCATTTCCAGGAAGCTCTGTGCCGCCCCTCCCCCTCTGCAGGGCAGAAGAAGGGTGGCACAGAGGTGCTTTTTATCGAACCCCCAGGTGTCCCGGGCACCTGCTCTGTCTTTCCTTGATGTCTCGCCTCACCAGTGAGGAAATAGAAACTCACGGAGGGTCAGTGAGATTCTGAAACAGCTGGTCTTCACCTTTAGACCCAAGAGTGGACTTTAGGGGGTTCACGAACCCCTCACATTAAACGCAAAATTATATGTGACAGTTTGTGCATTTGTTTTCTGGGGTGAAAGGCAGTCACTGTCCCCACATTCTTACAGGGGCATATGGGCTCAAAAAGAGAAAGAACTACTGGTCCAGGGAATAGAGCCAATTAAACTGCCTCCCTCAGGGCTCAAGCCCCCATCTCGGCCTGCCTGCGGCTACTTATTTAGAATCTTAAAGTACAGAGCAGTGTATCCCCTTCATTTTCAGGCAGGAAGTAGAGGACCAGGGGAGGGCAGCGCCTTGCCCAGCATCACAAGAGAAGGAAGTGGGACCAAGAAAAGACGCCATGAGCCTCCCAGATCCCCGCCTCTGATGCACCAGCTCCCTTAGTCCCCATTTGCGCTGAGGAGCCACCACTTTCCCTGTTGTTGCGGGTCAGAGCGTGGCTGATGGGGAACTGGGCAGCTGGTAGAACCCCAGCCCACGCAGCACGCGACAGCCACTGGCCCCGAGCTGTAGGTTAACAATCCATCCAACCCAACCACAGCCCAGAAACCGGCCCAGCATCTTCCCAACGCCCTCGTGTAGGTGGAAGCCATGCCGGGTCGGACAGACAGGTTGGCTGAAATGCTGCTAATTATTGCCCTGAGCACCCCGCCTCTCCCTCCCTCCCGCTGCCACTTAACTCTGCTGGCAGAGGCTGCTGTGGCCCCATTGGCCTTCCTCTGGCACAGAGCCACTTCACCATTTTTCTGTGTAGACTCCGCTGGCATTCTGATCATGGCTGTCAACTTCTCTCGGTGCTTTAAAATGTGTAGTACTAAGTATCGGATTTAAAAGGAAGCCACCGATATAGGAAACTGAGGATATTGAAATATAACTATGTACACATTAAGAAATCAAATTAGACATATAGTAACCCATATGTGCTTTTCGTTATTACAGTAAATAGATCTAGCAGCAGGACTAATCCTTACTTTGATTCTCAAGTAGTGATGGGAACAAATGATTTTTCAAGATATCTGTACCTGCTATAAATGTGACAAAAACACCTGTGTTTTCTATTGGTGTCACTGTCAACAGCACTGCTCATTCTACTGTGGTCTCTTACATTTGTCCATGAAGGAAATACTACATTTCCATCAGAGACGGGTGAAAATTAAGATGTCCTTTCCCCCCATCCAAGCCCATGAGTCTTTTGATGGGTCATGTAACTGTGTGTCGAGTCCTCTTTACACGCCATCTCACATGATCTTCCCAGCACCCTGTAAGGAGGTTGAGCGTCAGGGATGGGCGGTGGCCTGTGAGTGACAGGGCCAGGGTTTCATGGAAGAGCATGTTCGTGCTCTTCACAGACCCTCTGCCGCCTCTCTGCCCTGCTCACAGGCCTGGCCTCTGGGCCTCAGGAGCTTCCCTGAGATGCTTGGGGAGGGGAGAGCGTGCAGGTGGCCCTGAGCCGTCCACGTGGAGGTCAGAGGGGCCTTGAAGCAGTTGTTTACATCTCAGGGAGCGCGGTGCTGGTCCCTCTGCAGCCTGGTGGCCTTCGAAGGTAGAGCAGGAAGCCCCTTGTCCGGAAAGCAGGATTAGCATCTGATAAAGGAAGGTCAGTTAGTAAATAGATCTAGCAGCAGGCTTAGTTCCTTTTTGCTCAGTAAGCCTATCCTGTGTTGTTTGCTGGGGCTGGAGAGGTTAATCTGACCCAGTTCCAGCTCCCAGGGAGCTCAGAGGCTCAAGGGCCACTTGCTGGGAGGAGTCTGGTGGGGGCAGCAGACGATGCGTGCTGTGAGAGGGGCTGTGGACACAGGGGGACCAGGGGCAGTGGGACCCCCTCTGGGAAAGTTCGGGGCTAGGATACAGTCTCCAGACTCTGCACCTGCTCCCTTTTCCTCCATCCAGGCTGCCTTAGCCCCAGAGTGAGGCTAGCAGGTAGGGATTCCCACCTTCGCAGAGAGCCAGACGTCTAGGGTGGGCCTGGGGCTCGACCTCTCTAGTCCTGCTCCCCCTCAGGAGAATTAGCTTCGAGGACAGCAGGTTTCCAGGCTGCTCAGTTCCTGGCCGCAACCTTGCTGCCCCGCCCAGGCCCACCTGGAGCGCCCACCGGGCTTCTGTAGGAGCTTGGATATCTGCTGGCTCTTTCCCGGGCCTAAGGAAGGGGGCCAGTGGCAAACGGCTCAACCATGCGAGTGAGCCTGTCAGTGGCCTCACCTTAGACATGCCACTCACCAAAGCGCTCCGCAGTTTGCCTTGAACGGGGTTCCGTAGGCTGCAGGTCTTCCCGAGAGACCCCCTTCCCTGTCTGTGGTGTCACCCTCCCAAGCTGGTCCTGAAACATGGACGCCTGGCCGCTCCGTGTTCACTGCCTTTCCCCGGACAGTTGTGCTGCTTCCGGCCGCCTTGGGGAGAGGCTATCTCAGGAGCCGAGAGCAGGATGAGAGTCCGGATGACAAGGGACTGTCGTTTTCCTGCCCTGAGACTGTGGAGAGTCAGTGTCTGTGCCTGCCCTCTCCCTGGAGAAACTGGGAAGGCTCAGCAGGAAGAAGAGAGTCTGGCACCCTGAGCCAGGCAGCCCTAGAGCGCCTGACCAGCAGAGGGTGGGCACACAGCATAGGCCATGGAGAAGGCACTGGACGCAGGCCCGCTTCTACCAAGCATGAGGCCCCATGCGCCTGGCCCTGTGCCAAGCGCCAGGGGACAGAGAAGGTATGGCCCCCTCGGGTGGAGAACTCAGAGGTGAGGGCCACATGGAGGGATAGCATCATGTTGGGGAACCGTCTTGAAGAGCTGAAGTCTGAGCGTCTGAGGCTGGGAAATTGGACAGACCAAAGCCTGCTGAGGGCATCTCGGGTTGAGCCATGAAGTAACCCAAGCTTGGCATGGCCTTTCCTTCCCTCCGTGCCAGGTGCCAGGTTATTCAACCTTCTGGGTAGCAGGCCCGGAACAAAGTGAACACAGGAAAGCTGGCCCCAGGCAGGCTTCTTGGTATCCCGCTGGGGGGTTGAGAGGTGGGGCTGATGGGCTCTGGGCTTTGGCCCAGGGCCGCCTGGCACTTCCTCTCCTTGGAGGTGGCCAGCCCTCCTCTGCCGGGGCAGGAATCCTCAGCGCTCATGTGCCTCTGGTGGCAGTCTGGGGCTTCTAGTTTTTGGTAAATTACTAAAGCCCGGTGCAGATGATGGTTTGAATCCTGGCTCTGCCACTCTCTTGCCTGGCGACCTTGGGCAAGTTACCCTCCTGCCACCACCGCTCCAGAGCCTCAGTGTTCTCATCTCTAAAACGGTGTCCAGGTCACCCTGCCTCACACTGAGACCGTGGCTCAGTCCGTGTCCTGGGGTGTGGAGGCCCTTGGTAGGTCCATAGTAACCCTCCCTTGTCCATAGTAACTGTGCTGGGCACTGGGGTGGGGAGAGCATGCAGGAGAAGACAAAAAGAACAGCTGTAAGCACGGCTTCACAGGAAGCTGAGGTTCATCTCCGACGCTATTGCCGGGGCAGCGTGGAGCCCACCTGTCCCTCAACACCAGGATCTCAGAGATGCCCTTGACCCTGACTCATCCCCAGGTTATGCCCACGGCCTTGGTTGTGCCGAGCTTAGCACCAGGGTAAATGCTCATTCAGTCGCTTGGTGAGGCTTTGCCTGGGGGAGACGGAGGCCTTCCCCCCCCCCCCCCCGTAGGACAGGGCCTGACCTGTGCCTCTGCCTGCCCTCCAGGAGTGGCCTGCAGCGTCATCCTCATGTACATCTTCTGCACCGACTGCTGGCTCATCGCCGTGCTCTACTTCACCTGGCTGGTGTTTGACTGGAACACGCCCAAGAAAGGTAAGAGCATGGGTCTCCTCGCCCCACGCCTCGCCCTGGGAGCCCCCTTCTTGCACAAGCTGGGGTTCCTCATTGTGGGTGTTGCCTCTTTTGATTTAGCATCTTCTGTGAAAATACACTGGGCTAGGCCAGGGAGTGAGGGGAGGGGAGTTGCGGAGGGTTAAAAGCACTTCAAAGGAGCCATCCTGGTCCTCATAGGAGCTCACACTCAGTCAAGGGTTTGCATAACATGAGGGTACGAGCATGGCATGGGCCCAGTGGGAAGGAGGGGGGGAGGAAAAGATGTTGCATGGGGGTGGAGGGATAGTCACCCCTGTGGTTCACACTGGCTGTGTCTTCTTGCCCAAACACCCCCTTCCCTGATTCCCACACCCTCCCAACATTGTGTTTTGTTCTCTGGAAGGTGGCCGGAGGTCACAGTGGGTCCGAAATTGGGCTGTGTGGCGCTACTTTCGAGACTACTTCCCCATACAGGTAAAGATGTTTGTGTGTTATCGTGGGAGGGTGGGATGGGATGGGAGATCTGAATTCGAGCCTTAGCCTGCCCATCCACTGTGACCACACATGCTGAGGAGAACCATGTGACATCTCCCACTGTGAGCATCTGTTTATACGCCTCCCCAGTTTGTGCAGGATTTGCATAGTAAATCGCGTCCCCATGCCCTGCTAATTCTACTGTGGCCTCTTACATACCAAGTAAATATAATAGAAAAAAATCTCATACCAAGTAAATAGAAAAATCAAGACTTGGGGGGGGGGGGGGGGGAATTCTAGTATTTCAGCCATAATGGTCAACAAAGTTGTGGTTGAACTTCATCATTAGCTCTAAGCTTCCTGGCAACCAAGGCAAAAGGGGAAACATGAAAGTTGTTGGCTCTTGTTTTCGGAAAAGAAGCAGCTTACTAGCTCCTTGGGGAAATAGGACTTGTTCTAGTACTTGGATCTAAAAGATGTTTTAGACCCTTAAGACCCTGAGGGATACAAGGAGTAGGTGTCATAGCAGATATCAAGGCCATTGTTTGCCTGCCTTTCTGCGAATATTAAAGGCCTAGCAGCTTAAAAAGTGAGGGCATTTACCAAGAGCAATACTTAAGTAACCCAAGTTCATCTGGCCCGCACCAAGGATAGCACTGAACCAAGAATAACAATAGGTGTGAGGGGCTTGCTTGCTTTGGGAAACTCCTATGGAAATAGCATTTCTCTCAGCTAGTCACCATGGGTCACTGGTGGTCATGGCCATGGGAGTGAAGGCCCAGGAAATGTGCAGCAAAAGCAGAGCGAGAACCTAGTTCCTGAAGGGCCTGGGGAAGCTTCTGGAGAAGCTGCCCCTAGAACTCCATCCCAAAGGGAAGCAGCACTGAAGAGGCAGGGGCAACGCCGAGCGCGCAGGCACCCCAGTTTGAGAAGAAGCCTGTGGGGTGGAGAGGGAGGATCATATTTTTAAAAAATATTTTTGTTGATTTTTTTTTTTTTTTTTACAGAGAGGAAGAGAGAGGGATAGAGAATTAGAAACATCCAGAGAGAATCATCGATCAGCTGCCTCTTCCACACCCCCTACCGGGAATGTGCCTGCAACCAAGGCACACGCCCTTGACCGGAATCGAACCCTGGACCTTTCAGTCCGCAGGCCGACGCTCTATCCACTGAGCCAAACCGGTTTTGGCGAGGATCACGATTTATTGGGATACTTCTAAAAGCCAGCACCTCCCCCCTTCCTGGCACTCTATAAGGGATACTAACTTTATCCTTTTTTTTTTTTTTTTTTTTTTTTTTACAAAAAAGGAAACTGAAGGTCAGAGTAGCAAAGCTGACTGAGCTAGTGAGGGGTGGAGCCGAGATTCTAATTGCTATCTGGCCTCCAGGTCTGGGCTCCTGCCACCACAGCACACTGCCTCCCTGTGCGCCGGAGCCGTGGGGAGTAAACGTGGGCAGACGCTCAGGCCTCCTGCATATTGGAGGACAGAGGCAGCAAAGGCCCAGGCTGGGTGAGGCACCGGCCCTCGCAGGGTTCAGTCTCCCCTTACGAAGCAAGTTTAGGCCAAGTTGGTGTCTGGGTTTCCTTCCTGCTGCACCATGAGCTGCTCTGGGACCACCCGGTCTTCTGAGCACCCATCGTCGTCTCTTCTCTGGGGCCAACCTCCGGGTCCTGACAGAATGAATGGTGGCATGGTCTGGCTGTCGGCCTCGTCTCTGTCCCCCTCTGCAAGCTAGCTTGGCAAGGCAGAGGCATCTGGGCCCTGGTGCATCTGGGTGACTGGTGGGTGAGTCCAGCAGAATCCTGAAGGTTTTTCCTGCAGGGGAAAGACCTGTCTGGCCAGCTCACTCAGCACCCCAGCCCCGGCACACCCTCGCGGCTGAGGCAACCCAGCAGAGAGCAATGGTGGCAGCATGTGTGACCGTGAAAGTGTGCATGACACAGGGTGGTGTGGGTTTGTTGTCATGAGTCAGTGACTGAGACATCCTGGCCTGCTGCCTGAGGAAGGTGGCTGGTTGACCCCCACATTCCTCCACTGCACCCAGTATTATCTGTGTATGTGTGTGTGGGGAGGGAGAGGGGGTGCCCTGGGGCCGGCTCCCTCTGTCTACCCAACCTGAACCCACTTTTACCAGAATCTTCAGGGTCAGGGTTCTCACTCCTCCCTTGTCCTGAGGAGCCAAGGCTGTTGTTGCTAGGAGAATGTTGCATCATAGGAGGATGTTGCATCATTTTGGAGGTGAGGAAACAGTCCCGCAGAGGGGCAAGGACTGGTCCAGGTTGCACAGCAAGTCCACCCAGCATTAGTACTGGAATCCAGGCCCTGGGTTCTCTCCCACTGCATACCCACTGCGTGTTTCTCTGGGAGCGATTCGGTCCCGGATTTCCCCCATTGGATTGAGCCCCTGCTTCCTGGGTCTCCCTCTCTCTGCGTTGCCATTGGAGACTTGGGTTGAGTTCTTGCTCTGTCACTCCATTCACCGAGCATCTGTTGTTGCTCCCACACAGTGCTGGGCATGGGGACACAGACGAGCCTGCCCTGGCCCCTGCCCTCAGGTGGGCTCACTGTCTAATAGAACCTGCTAGACTTTGTCCCTTTCCACTCCTGGGACCACAGGCACACTTTATCAAGCTCACTGGGCCTCATTAGTCTCATGTGCAAAACGGAGCTGTGCATATGAGAAAAAGTGGTACATGATGGTCCATTGGGAGGAACTGTGGGCTCTGTTCTCTCTACTGGGGCCCTCACCTAAGGGGCCAGGCCCCCGTGTTCAGAGAGGCCTGTCCCTTGGGAAGCCTCCAAAGGCCAATCACCACCCCCCACCGCCCACCACCAACCCTGATTACTATTGGTCAAAACTGGAACAGGCAGATATCCTTGCCCACTGATCTTTCTTAAAGGGACAAACAAAATCCAGTGTTCTTGTCACACCTTTTTTCCAAGAAATCAGCTGGGAGTTGGAGCCACAGGATGAGTTAGAGCTGGTCCTGGGACGCCCTGGGGCACGAGGACGAAAGCCACGTGGTGCCTTAGGCAGGCCGGGCATGGAGTCTCAGCCTTGGCTTTGCTCTTCCCTACAGGTGACCTTGGCCAAGCTCCTGCCCCTTGAGGTCTCAGGCTCCCCCTCTGTGAGAGGTTTTGGCCTTGGTGACCTGATATCAGGGCTGATGCTCTGTGGACTCGTGTGTGGCTCCCCCCTTTCCTCAGCCTCTTGGCAATAGTTGTGTGATAACGTTCAGCTGTCCTTAGCACCCATCCGTCCTCTCTCCCTTCTCGGTGGGGTTCTTTGCTCTTTGCCACCAGAGCAGCTCGGCTGCCCAGAGACCATCCCTTCCCTCAGCAGAGGCGGGGCTCACGTGTTAGCAGCAGCCACTGGGACTGCTGGCTGCCTGGGAGAGGAGTGGGCAGTGCCCGGGTATCGGCAGGATTTTTGGAGAGGAGACTATGAAAGACTCTGAGCTTCGAATCCTGTGTGTCCATCTGCCTCATTTCACAGATGGGCCTACTGAGGCCCAGGGAGGTGGGCCTGCCCCACATTCACAAAGCGAGTCAGTGTCCGGCTGGGATAGGAACCAAGGCTGCCCGCTTCAGGACCCAGGGTCTCAGTCCTGTGTTCCTCTGCCACCGCGCCCTGCGGTGTGAGCTCAGGCAAATCTCTGCTCTTTGGTTCCAAGGTGCCTTCTATAGGGTCCCAGGGTGGCACAAGCCTATCTGAGTGCCTTTCCTGCCCCGACAGGCAGGGTGTGAGGAGTGACTGCCAGGAATGTGTCCCAGGCTCACGTGGCCAGCCCCTGGGACTGAGACTTTGTCCTAGGAAACAGGGGACACAAGAGTGGGCATGTCAACAGAGCCTTTATCAGCAATGTCCTCTCTGCAGGATGGACACTCTGTCCAGCCTGAGGGGCAGAGAGTGTGGCTCCCAGAGACCAAAAGCTGTGCCAGATGCCTGCATTCTCCGGGGCACTGCACAGTGCTCCAAGGCACCTCGTTTCACCAAATGCCCCGCCAGGCAGGGGCTGGGGAGATGGGGAAAATGATTGAAAGAGCCACCCGGTGACACATCTACAACCTAGGCCTGATTGGCTTCATTGGAGTTTGTCTCAAGAAAATAATCAGCCCAGCCTCTGTGGCTCTGTGGTTGAGTGTCAGCCCATGCACCAGGAGGGTGCTGGTTCAGTTCCTGGTTAGATGTTTCTAACCCTCTTCCTTCCTCTCTCTGAAATCAATAAAAAACATATATTTTGTAAAAAAAAAAAAAATCTTTATTGTTTAAAGTATTACATGTGTCCTCCTTGTTTTCCCATTGACCCCTTCTTGCCCACCCCTGAATAAAAACATATTTTAAAACATGATAGACATGTAGATAAAAAATAAGGTATTTATGGAAGCATTATTTTTTCTTTTTTAAATAATTCTTTATTGTTGAAAGTGTTACATATGTCCCCCTTCCCTCCCCTCCATTTACCCCCACCAGCCCCCCCATCCCCACCCCAGGCCTTTAGCACCCTATTGTCTGTGTCCATGGGTTATGCACTCAAGGTCTTTGGTTGATTATCTCCCACCCACCCACCCTCTCCTGCCTTCCCTTTGAGATTCCACACTCTGTTCCATATGGAAGCATTATTTTTGAGGGAAGTTTTGGAAGCTTTTTAAAGGTCCATCCATAGGGGTTTGATTATAGTCCCGTTACATGTAGCATGGCTGCATGATGGAATAATACAGCCATGGGAAGATACGTTACTGAGGAATTTCGACAAGGAAAAATAGATAGGGTATGATAATACTTGTTTGGAAATTATATAAAAATGATACCAACCATATGTGATTTTGTCATTTAAAAAAAAAAAGTATGTGTATATTTGAGTAGAAAAGGGACTCAACCCAGAGTGATTTAGCTGGCTAGAGGTATGACAGATGCTTTTGATTTTCTTTTCTCTTTTTTAATTTTCTGTATTTTGAAAATTCTCTGTGATAGTCATTATTTTTCTAATCAGAAAAAAAAAGTGATGCTTTCTGAACAAAATCTCAGCATTGCCCACCCCTCTCTTCACCTTCCCTCCATCGTGTTTGTTGTAATGCTGGGTAGGTGCCTCTTGTTGCTCAGGGTTTAGGGAAACTTTACACCAGCCACCCCGCCATCTAACTCTAACCCCAGGGCAGGAGGCAGCCCCTGAGGAAGCCAGTCATTCCTCAGAGCATCCCAGGGCAGGTTTGTTGAAAGTACCGCAGGTCAGCTGCCCCGCTGCACAGCTGACCTCCCACCACTGTGGCTGGCACCAGAACTGTTCTTGCCCTTTTCCTTCTGGCCTCAGAGCCTCAGTAGAAGCTGGCTGCCTGGAAGGAAGTTTCCACTCAGGCAGGCTGCACTGTCTCTTCTCTGGCCAGACTGAGGGACTTGGACTTAATCCCAGTGGGAACTAGAGAGGTACAAGGATTGCATTGGGTTTTAGAATAGTCACTCTGCTGTGGAGAGGAGGATGGCCCAGAGGGAGGGAAGACAGGAGGCTAGCTGAGTGCAAAGAAGAGGACCTGGAGTAACTGGCTGGAGAAATAAGGGGATCAAGGGAGAAATTTCCCCTCCCCGCTGGGACTTAACAGTCCAAACGGCAGCCAATGAGCACCTGGCACTGTGACCCCAGTGGTGAGGAGTCTGAGGTCAGGTGTGGAGAGTCACTCCAGTCCTTGAGGCCCAGAGTCCCAGCGGGGATGGCAAACCCAGTCTGTCCTCGACCTTCTGGGTGTGCCTCAGGGCCTCGTCCTCCCCCTCCCCCGGCCAGTTTCCACTCACCCAAGCTTTTCCCTGCAGCTGGTGAAGACCCACAACCTGCTGACCACCAGGAACTACATCTTCGGATACCATCCCCATGGCATCATGGGTCTGGGTGCCTTCTGCAACTTCAGCACAGAGGCCACGGAAGTGAGCAAGAAGTTCCCCGGCATAAGGCCCTACCTGGCCACGCTGGCTGGCAACTTCCGGATGCCAGTGCTGAGGGAGTACCTGATGTCCGGAGGTGAGACTCCATGGCTGCCTATCCTTACTGTGCCCCACTGAGCCCCACTGTGTTTATCCTTACTGTGCCCCGCTGAGCCCCACTGTGTTTATCCTTACTGTGCCCCGCTGAGCCAGATGACAGATTGTCCAGGAAGCCCATATACCATCCTGGACCTGTGCTGAGAGGTGCAGCCTGCTGCAGGCACTATGGGTCAGGGCCAAGCAGGAGAGCTGTGCATAAGTCTTCCAAGATTCAACCTGGATAGTATCTTCCCTAGGAAGCCTTCTCTGGCCCCTTTTCTGGGTACCCCAGCCCCGTGCTCCCCTCTGCACGACCTGATTGTTGTCCATGGCACTATCATTCTCTCCCCCACCCCCACCGTGACCCCCAGCAGCCTGATGTACTGGGCTTCCCAGCACCTGGCATCAGCCTGGTAGACTTAAGACCGCAGGCAGTATTTGCTAAGTGAATGAATTACCTAAACAACCTTGTATTGTTATCCCCATTTTATAGGTAAGTAAGCCAAGGCTCAGAAAAAGAATAGCTTAGGTAGGGCCATGCAACTTTGAAGGTTAGGTCTGGGGCCCAAGTTTGCTTAGACATGACTGCGGGGGGTAGGCAGTGCCCCCAGAGGCAGCCCCGACGGCGTGTCTTCTCCTCCTCCCCCAGGCATCTGCCCTGTGAACCGGGACACCATAGACTACTTGCTTTCAAAGAACGGGACCGGCAATGCCATCATCATCGTAGTGGGGGGCGCAGCCGAGTCCCTGAGCTCCAGGCCCGGCAAGAATGCGGTCACCCTGCGCAGCCGCAAAGGCTTTGTGAAACTGGCCCTGCGGCATGGGTAAGTGCCTCCATGTGCGTGCGCACACACACACACACACAGAAACATGCAGACACACACACACACTCACACACATACACACAATCAGCAGCTCCGTACAAACACACACACACAAACACACACACACACACACACGTACACACTATCAGCAGCTCTGTAAACACACACACACACACACACACACACACACACACACACACACACACACACACGTACACACTATCAGCAGCTCCTTGGCTCCTGGAGGCCCAGACGCCAGGAAGGCCTTAAAGAGAGCTCACTGTCCTGTGGGGGAGGGGGCTTGGAGCCCAGAGGTTCAGGCCAAGTTGTCCAAGAATAGCCTTGGCGTCTGACTAGGGCAAAGGGGAGGCCTGTGTCCCTTGAGCCCTCACAGGTGGGCTGAGAGAGCAGGAACATGCATAGGACAGTGCCCTGGAGCCAAAGCCGTCATGCTGCTTGCGGAAATGAGGGCGGCGTGGTTGGACATGGCAGGGAGGCTTCCCTGAAGGGTGATGCGAAGGGCAGGTGGAGAGGAGCTGGCCAGCTTGGGTGTTTGTGACCTTTTCTAGAAAGCCAGAGACACATTCTGTGTAGCCACCTGTTCGGTACATGTCACTGGACAAAGCACATTCACTTCTCAGTCCCCTGAGATGCCACAGCCACCCTGCCGGTGGTGACATCCTACTTTCCACGTGAGGAAACCGAGCCAGGCTAAGTGGCCCAGTAGGGGTCACGTTGTAAAATGCAGAGCTACGCTCTCTGGACTCCAGGTGCTCTGTTTTCTTCCTTCTCTGTGCTCTGGGCAACCCCAGGAGGAGGGCTTTGGAGTGACGGGCCTCTAACAATGGCAGACCTGGAGCGGGAGGGGATGCAGCCTACAGTCACCCACAAGTTAGGGATGGCACTAACCATTTGGGCCCCACCCACCGCTCCTCTCTGCCCTCTCAGGGCTTTACCCCAGGCTCCAGGAGAGGCTGTTCTTCAGGCCCAGCCTCTGACAGGCTCTGGGCGCACGACCATTCAGACCCAGTCCCTGTGTTCAGGGCAGGGGGCAATATGAAGGGGCAGACAGCGACAACACGGTGTGCTGAGGACTGTGACACGGAACTGAGAGAGGCCTCGGTTGGGTATGGGACAGGGAGAACATTCCAGCAGAGGCAGGCCTCAGGGATGAGAGAGAACAGGCATGCTAGGGCAGGGCCCGCCACCTTCCCTTTGCCTAGTGCTCTAGCCGGGGGGCAGAGGGGACACATGTTGGGGACCCCCCGGGTGGTTCCGGCACAGCCCTGTGGGAGGGGAGCTCGGCTAGTGTCCAAGGCCTCTAGGATTGACAGGAGGAACCGAAGCCAATGACTGGGGAGTGACAGGCCTGGCCTCTCCCTTCCAGAGCCGACCTGGTTCCCACCTACTCCTTCGGAGAGAATGAGGTCTACAAGCAAGTGATCTTCGAGGAGGGCTCCTGGGGCCGGTGGGTCCAGAAGAAGTTCCAGAAGTACATTGGCTTCGCCCCGTGCATTTTCCACGGCCGAGGCCTCTTCTCCTCCGACACCTGGGGGCTGGTGCCCTACTCCAAACCCATCACTACTGTCGGTGAGTCTCCCTGTGTGAAGACCCTGAGCTTGGGGGGCCGCAGCTAGCTAGTGGTGGAGTTAGGACTCAAATCCAGGCCGCCTGGCTCTGATGTCCATGCTCTAAAGTTCAGTGTTTCCCAAAGTGTGGTACGCGTAACCCCAGGGTTACGGGAAGGGTTTGGTGGGGGTACGCGTTGCACTGGAGTTTGGCGGGGATATGCACTGCACCGTGCTTAGCTGCGCCTAATTCTACGTTCTCATGAGTACGAGGGGTACTCAGCGTTATGAAAATTATAGAAGGGGTACACTTATGTCAAAAGTTTGGGAAACACTGCTAAACCATGAGGACATGTGGGGGCTGCCCTGGGGGGGATTATTGGTGGAGGTGGGGTTGGGGTGACGGGGTGAAGTGTTATTCCTGTGAGCCAAGCTGTGCTCACAAACCAAGACCCAGCAGTCCTGTGCTTGCAGAGCCCGGCAGTCTCTCAGGGAAGATCCCGTTAGAGCAAAGGTCAGCAGGGGGTGTGAGTGGGATGTGCGGCATGCTCTGGGGGTCATAGTGGACTGCAGTGAGGTGGTGACTCTTAGACTGTGAGCTGAATAGGAATTACCCAGCAAAAGAGGTGGGAGAAGGGAGTTTTTGTCAGACATAGGAGCCTAAGTGAAGTCCCTGAAGCAAGACTGTGTGGAGTTTTGAAAGAAAACATGATGAGAGCAGAGTCCTGTGAAAAGTGTTGCAAAAAACTGGCTGTACTTGGCCTTCAGCTATGTTGTGTTGGGTTTATTTGGGATCATGTAGAGGGTTCCAAAGACTTATCTCTTGTAGGGGTGTGTGTGTGTGTGTGTGTGTGTTAATGGTTCACAAGCTGGAGCTCACGCAAGAGCCTGTGGGCCACAAGCTGTGGACTGGAGGGGCCAAAGCTCACATAGACCCTTTAAATGATCAGAGCCAGGTATTCTGTTTGGTACTTGACACAGAGACTGACTTCCTGCATTTTGGGTCACATGACCTACACTCTCCCATCCATCTCTGCTCTCTGTGAGGCAGCAGAGACATTTTCATGCTTGGGGTGTCTGGCCAGGGATGGGGTCCTGTGGGCATTGTGAAGGAACTGTTTTTTACTTTAGTAGTGGGAAGCTGGGATGCTGTGATGAGGGTGATTTAGCCTACTTGCTTGGGAACTGAGCAGGTGTTAAGGAGAAAGGCGGAGTGCCATGGGATTTGTCTGTGAACCTCCCCCTCGCAAACAGAGCACAGAGGACCAGTGCAGGTGACCCGCGTAGAGGAAGACAAGGTTATGGTATTGATGGACGGGTCTCTGAAACTGGTGACGCCAGAGGGGGGGCCAGTCAGGGGGCTTCGAATTCCGAAGGTCCCCATGATGGAAGCTGTGGAGGCCGTGGTGATGGTCCGCGGACAGCTCCAGGCCTTCTGAAAGCATGGCGTGCAGGTGTGGGCTCTAGGCTCTGACCAGCTGCTTCAGGAGCTGAGAGACCCCACCCTCACCTTCCATCTGCTTGGCTCTCCCAGGCCTGTGGTGGTGGGGAGAAGCCCGGGAGATGATCAAACTGCTCCTAGCAACCTCTACATTCAGGAATGAGTCCTTGGAGCTGGGGCGGGGGGGGAGGGGGTAATTAGGAACCACTCCCTGCACCCTCCTTCCCAATAGATACTTGTTAGTGGTCACGATATGCCCCTTTATCCCAATAAACATTCAGCCTCAATATATATATATGGTTTGGAAGAGGGAAGGTTCTGATTTGCGTTTTAAAGTGATCCTTGGGACTTCTGGATAGAAAATGGCTTAGAAGGGGCAAAATTGGAAGCCATAAGACCACTCCAGAGGCTTTTGGGTAGCCGGTGGCTTAGATGAGGGAATGGCAGTAGAGATGGAAGAGAACTTGGGAGAAATTTCAGAAATGTCTTTGACAGAACTTGGTGATGAGTTGGGTATGGAGATGAAATAGGATTAGGAGATAAAACAGTGCCCAGAAGGTCTCCTCTCCCTCTCCCGCCTTCACCCCCCTTCTCAAACCATGCCACGATTCACAGAATCCTCATAAAGCCCCGCCCCTCCTCCCTCCCCCCACTCTGAGGAAGGATCGCTGTGTGACAGGCGAGGAAACGAAGGCTCAGAGAGGCAAAGTGACTTGCCCAGGGCTTTTCCAGGAGCTCCCAGCTGAGTGCCGTGGGTGCAGACAGGCCTCCTCCCCACTATCACTTAGTGGCTCCGTGGCCTTGGGCAGGTCCCTTCCCATGCCATTGGGCCTCAGTCCTCTCCTCTGCCAAAGGACATCCTAAACACCTTCAGCACAGTGCCCGGCACATGGTGGGCACGTAGCACGGGGTCACTGCCCTCAGCATCATGGTCAACGCCCAGGGAGGGTGGGCCCAACGGCACGGACTAACCAGCGGCCTCTGCCCCTTCCCCGCAGTGGGCGAGCCCATCACCATTCCCAAGCTGGAGCACCCGACCCAGCAGGACATCGACCTGTACCACGCCATGTACATGGAGGCCCTGGTGAAGCTCTTCGACAAGCACAAGACCAGCTTCGGCCTCCCGGAGACCGAGGTCCTGGAGGTGAACTGAGCCGCCCGCCCGCCCGCGGGCCCGCCGCCTGCCGGGAGGAGCCCGCTGCCTGCCGGGAGGAGCCCGCTGCCGGTCATTTTCTACCAAGTCCTCGAGTGCTTTTTGTTCTGTAAATTTGCAAGTGTCATGGGTGTCTGTGGGTTATTTAAAAGAAATTATAATAATTTTGTTAAACCATGAAAAACCTTAGGTCTTTTTTTAGGAAGGAAAGCGCTTGGACATTTCAGGCTTTTTTTTTTTTTTTTTTTTTCCCCACTTCCCGTCTGTGCTGTTCTCGGTGGTGACTGACACCTCTGGGCCTTTTATAGCTTCTCAACCAGCCCCTCTTCTTCCATTCCTGAAGTCACGGAGAAAGCGCGGTCCGGGCTGCCCGGGGAAGCAGGACGAGCCATTAGGGACCCGGGCCAGTGAGATGATTTGCTCTTTGCCCCTGGAGGGCAAGGAGCAGAAGCCGCTTCTGACACAAACACCTCTCTTCCCGGCTACCCTGACTTGCCTGCAGAACTAGTCCCTCCTGCCCAGGGGACGCCTGGAAGGCACAGCGGTCCCTGTTTTGGAGAGTGCAGGGATGAGCATCTGGACTGTTCCAGCTTGATTCTCCTCTCTGCCGCTTCCCCTGTCCCCAGTCTTCCACACGGAGCCCGGACTGGCCTCCGCAGACACGCTGGGGGTGGCGGTGAGCCTGTGCCGGGAGCAGGGCTGTCCCGGGCACACCATCGCGTGGATTACCCAGCTACCACGTCTGGTTGGAGTGACCGGTTTTCCTCAGAGTGCTGGGGACATGGACCCAGCACTGACCAGGCCGTGGCCGGAAGCCCGTACTTTCCCCGGTGGCCTCGTTCTGCTGAGCCGCACCTCCACGTGGAGGGGTGAGGAAGGGCCCCTCTTCCTGTTCACAGCGGAGCCTGGCCTTCGGAGCATCAGATTGGCTTCCGGATGAGAGGCCCCCTAACCCTCCTCAGGTGTGTGTGCCTTTTGGGGAGGATAGGGGCCGGGGAGGAAACCCAGCCTTTCTTCCGTGTGTTCTGTTTTCTCTTGATGAGATCATTGTACCTTGTCAGACTTTTGTATATTCCTAAACAGATAAATAAAAAAATGAGCGTCCTCTGAGTTCTTGGTGGGGACAACATCTGACACCTGGGGAGACCATAGCTACTTGCCAGGCTCCTTCCCCTCGCTCCGTTGGCCCAAATGGCCCGGTGTGATGCATCATCTGTTGCCGTGTAACAAATTAGTCCAACACTAAATGGCCTCAAACACTGTCCACAGCTTCTGCCGGCCTGTCGTCGAGATATGGCTTAGCAGACCCTCTGCATCGGGGTCTGCAGCCAGGGTGTCCGCCAGGAGGACCCACTTGGAAGGCCATTCACGTGGTGGTTGGCAGAATTCACTTCCTCACTGGCTCTTGACCGGAAGCCACTCTTAATTTCTTGCTATGTGGGCCTTTCCATAGAACACCTCGGAGTGTGGCTGCTGCCTCCATCAGAGCGAACAAGAGGAGAGTACAGGCAGAAGTAACGGCCTTTTATAACCTAATCTCAGAAGTGATCACCTGTCGCGTTTGCCGTATTCCCTTCGTTAGGTACAAATCCTGAGGTCCAGGTCACACTCAGGAAGATTACAGACGGAGTGACTACCGGGATGTAGGGGGCCTTGGAGCCCCCTCACAGCCTCCTACCACAGGTGCTAAAGGGCTGCTGTCCAGTGGCAGGGTCCTGGGAAGGCTGAGCTGGAAAGGCCCTTAGGGATGGCTCACACGGTGGTCCTTGCCCCTGGCCTAAGTTATACCCCGAAGGGGAAGACCTCTGACCTGCTGTCACTCTAGTCATTTCATGCCGCATCCAGGTCTTAGGAGGTGCCATATCTCTATTCTGATTCCGTTCAGTTCAGTGAGTGCTAAGCCCCTAGGAAGCCTTCCCAGCTGAGACTAAAAGACCTCATTCCAACTTCTCAACTGCCTAGAAGCCTGTCCCCGCCACGCACCCTCCCCAGGGACTGCTTCTGTTTCAGAAGCTGGGAGTGGGCTCCTTGGGAGCAGGAACAAACATTGGACATAGCTGAGGATGTGCAGGGTGGTCAGACCTGTGACAAGATGCCCTTACCCCAGCCTGGGGTGCCTCATGAAACTGGAACTCTGGAACCTGGGCCATGATGCAAAAGGTGACTGGACATTTGCCAAGAAGGAGTGGAGGGGCAGAGCAGTAAATGCTGACAGAGGAACCAGCCCTGCTGATTTGAGGGGTTGAGAGGTGGCGGTAGAGAGGTGTCCAGAGGTCTGCCATGGGGCTTCGCTCAGAAGGGTTGGGGAGCTGGCTTCTCCGGAGTCTCTGGGTGGGCAGGAGAGCAGGTGGAGAAAGGAGGTGCCTTGGAAAGGCCCATAAAGACCAGGTCAGAGGACTGACACTTCCTGTAGGATAGAGGGAAGGCCTGTATTATGATGAGTCTTGGCCCCATCCCAGCCCCCGCCAGAGGCTAGCCATGACCCTCAGCCTCTGGCTCCAGGCTAAGTCCTGGTTTTGACATTGATCACCCCACAAACGTAGGCCATTCCTTTCAGTATTAATTTTTGGAGGTTGAACACCTGTACATGAGGGTACTCCACCAGCTGCCTTAGGAAGAGAATAACCGGCCCCAAATGTCAGAGGGGTCCCCTCGCCCAGCACGGTGTATGTCCAGCAGGGCCTGTGCAGAGCAGAGGCCAGCAACACTTTAAGTTGTGGGTGGAGAGCCCTAGGCAAATGCTGTGAGCATTGCCTCGGGTTGGGAGTCGTTACCTTGGGAGAAGGAACTGGAAGTTACTTTTCCAGAAGACCCTCTGCCTTTGGACCCTGGAGGGGGGGCTCCAGTTTCAGCCTGAAGGTCAATTCCGTGATTCTGTTTGTGCTCCCCAGATATGGCCACTAGGGGGCACTGCAGATGGTTCTGAGGCAAATTTCCTTGTAGCTTCCTAAGTTTACACAGTTTGACCCTTATCCAGCTCAACCCCTGGGCTAGAAGCTAGAGATTGTAAAACGCAGACTCACAAGACCACAAAGCTAGACAGGGGCTGAAGAGGCAGGAGGGACCCTCCCCTGGAGAGCACAACCCAGACATCCTGATTTTGTATTCTGGCCCTGGAACAGGGAGAGCACCTATTCCTGTTTGTTTAGGCCAGTCTACAGTCATCCAAGCAGTAGCTTCTGCAAATACAACCCTCCTTGCCCCTCCTTTTGGGACTTTGGGCTCTGAGGACAGCAGAGCCCTGTGTTCTGGCAGGGAAGACCCCCTAAGACCTCTCACTGCAGGGCTCACAGGGAGATCCATTCCTGTGTCCTTGCCTCAGCCCTGTCTCCAGCTCCCCCAGGGCACCTGGGCAGTGACAGTGCAGTGAGCACACGAGGGCAGGCTGCTTGGTGGGTGGGCAGTGCAGGCTACATGGCTCAGGGACTCCTCCCCTTGCCGAGCCCCCAGCTGAGGGTGATGCAGGGTACTCCCCAGGCCTACCCTGACCTCCCAGCCCTAACCCCTGTGAGTCCAGCCTGGGGCTCTGCTTCCTGGAGCATCTGGGTTGGCAGGAGCCAGCAACTGGGTTGTCTTGCCCATATTCTAGATGCCAAAACTGAGGCTCAGAGAGGGGGAGCAGAGATCCCTAGCATCAGCCCATCTCCCCTTAAGTCAACCCAGCTCACAGGGGGCTACCCCAGCTGCCTCCTGGTTGCCATGGTGTCGGAAGAGGAGGAGCAGGAGATTTCTGAAAAGCAATCCAAAATTACACACCAGCTGGCCCCTTCTTCCTCATTCCCTCTCTCCAGCTTCAAAGCCTTCTTTCGTACAGGTAAGCCTGTGCATGTGTGGAGGAGGGTGTGGGGGATTCTATCTGGCCAGGAAGCCGGGAGCAAAGGTCAAGGAGAAAGAGGTGTCCAGGTACCAGGTTCTGGGAGCCCAGCAGATTTCCTGGGCCTGGGCTCCACGCCTCCCACAGTTCCCAGACCAGGTGGGCTGCTTCCTGCCTCTGCTTTTGCACATGCAGTTCCCTCCACCTGGAATGTCCTTCTCATCCTTCCAATCCCAGCTCAGCTTTAACTCCACTGGAGAACCTTCCCTCAGTCACTTGGGGCTCCCCATGCATCCTGCACACACCCCAGTCACAGTCACTGCTGCTTTCTTTTTCTTTTTCTTTTCTTTTTAAATATTTTATTGATTTTTTTTTACAGAGAAAAAAGGAGAGAGATAGTTAGAAACATCAATGAGAGAGAGTCATCGACCAGCTGCCTCTTGCACGCCCCCCACTGGGACGCACCCCAAGGTACATGCTCCTGACCAGAATTGAACCCAGGACCCTTCAGTCGGCAGGCTGACGCAATATCCACTGAGCCAAACCGGTTTCGGCAACCTCTGTTTTCTTGATGCTCTCAAGGGGCTGTGAGGTCTTGGGGATGCTAGCTTTGCCTTTGCACCCCAGCCCCTGGCACAGACAGGTGCTCAGTAAATCCGGAAGGAAGAGAAGGCGGAGGGAGGAAGGGAAGGGAGCAAAGAGACACCTCTCCTAGGATTGGAGAGGATCTGGACCGTGAGCACCTGGCCCAGGGCTGGGCATGAAGCAAAGCCCATTCCCTTCCTGCCACCTCCACTTGAGCCTGGGCTCCAGCACCTTCTGCCTTATCTGGTTTGGAGCTGGCTCAGGGATGTCTCCATCCCCGCAGGCCTGTGTCTGTTGCCCATTGGGATGCAAGGTAATTCCACCAAGATGCAGATGTGCAGTTGACTTCATAAGGAGCTAGTGTATTGGGGAGAAAGGCTTCCATTCCCAGAAATCCCGGACTGTGCAAACTTGCAAGGGCCTGAGGGCTGACCTTAAACAGGGGTTTTCACACTGAATGCTTTCAGCAAACAAAGCCTTACCTGACGTCATTATATAAAGCAGATAGAAACTAAGCTGCTTGGGGTGAAGTGGTGGGTGTTGAAGGAGACTGGGAGATGGGACCAGAGTCCTCTTTCCCCAGTAGCTCTGGGTCCCAGCG